GCCCCCCCCCCGCCTGGGGCCCCTGCCTCACGTTTCCGGGTGGTGAAGCTGCCCCACGGCCTGGGAGAGCCTTATCGCCGAGGTCGTTGGACGTGTGTGGATGTTTACGAGAGAGACCTGGAGCCCCCGAGCTTTGGCCGGCTCCTGGAGGGAATTCGAGGGGCCTCAGGAGGAACCGGGGGCAGATCATTGGATTCTAGGTTGGAGCTGGCCAGCTTGGGCCTGGGCACCCCTACCCCACAGCCAGGCCTCTCTCAGGGCCCCACCTCCTGGCTTCGCCCACCCCCTTCTTCCCCTGGACCTCAGGCCCGTTCCTTCACTGGGGGGCTGGGCCAGCTAGCGGTGCCCAGCAAGGCCAAGGTGGAGACACCCCCCTTGTCAGCCTCCCCACCGCAGCAGCGCCACCCAGATCCTGGGACCGGGGATAGCACGGGCACATCCAGGGCCACCACGCCCCTGCCCTCCCTGAAGGTGGAAGCCGAGGCTGGGGGCTCAGCAGCTGGGACCCCGCCATTGTCCCGACGGAAAGATGGAGCCGTGCGGCTGAGGATGGAGTTGGTTGCTCCGGAGGAGACAGGGCAGGTAAGAGCTGGGTTCCAGGTTGGGGGAAGCATCTGGGGAACGGACACACGGGCTGTGCTGGTCCATCTCAGCCTTGGCCTAACCTCCAGCCTGGGCCTCCTGCCCTCCCAACTCCAGCGCCACCTGTCAGAGCTGATAGCCCAGTGTTCTCTCCCTGCAGTCTCACTTTGAAGGCTATTCCTCCTCCTGTGTTTTCTCTCAGGCTCCCTCTTCCCTGCAGTCTGTAGCCCATTTCTTTCTCTTCGGCTTTTCATTTGTTTCCTTCCACTCTGGCTGTCACCTTCATGTAGCCTGTAGCGTGTGTGGCCTCCTCACTTCACCTTCTGTCTTGGTCTTACCCCTTCTGGCTCCAGGTGGAGAGTGAAGGGGGTGGAGGCCGTAGCTGGGTGGCTGGGCCCTGAGGAGAAAGCTGCCAGGGTTTGTTGAGGGTGGGGGTGGGTTAGACATTCCAAGGTAAGTCTCTACTGCAGCTCCATCCTGAACATCGGGGCCACCCATCCCAGCCCGATCTTTAGTTTAGGTGCAGGTCAGGTTTCTCTGTGGAATTGGGTGGGAGGACACGTGACAGGGGTGGGAAGGGGTGCTCTCTAGTTTGTTATTTTCACCCCTAGTCATCCGTGTGAGTGCCCTCCATCTGGGCCTCTCCAGGCCTGGTAACTGGGGATGGCCACTGTACAGGAGGAGAGGTGGGAAGCAGCTGAGAAGGAGTTAAGTCCTTTTCTCTTTCAGCTTCCTGTCTCCAAAAGAGGAACAAGTCTGGGCTGGGGGGCAGGATGCCTGTGTCCTTGGGGTTACAGTGGATGGGCAGCCAGGGATGTGGGGTTTGGATACTTCTGTCTTGAAAGAGAAAATAACACCTTGGTCTGCATAAGGAATGGCAGGGAGTGTGAGGATGAGAACTCTTCCCCCTTCCTGGCCTTGGGCACAAACCACAGTATAAAAATAACCTGAGCCTGGATGTCTGGGCCCTTGTCAGGACCGGTCAGGACCAGCTCCCTCCCACCCCCTCCTAGTCTCCAGCTCCAGTCTGCTCTACCCCTCTTACTCTCTACCCCAACTCTTTCATCCAGTTCGTAAGAGGGTGGAGAGAGGTGCTGTTTCTTTTCTGGTCCTGGTTCCGAGACTTTCAAAGCAAGCCCGGTTTGCCTTGCCATCAGCTCTGCTCTATACCTGAAGCCTTGCCTGAACTTCCCTTGGGTCTGCAGACCTGCCCCTCTGTTCTCGGTGCCCCACAGCCCCTTTCCTTCCCCCATGTCCTGATGGCTTCCAGTGTGCATGCATCTGTGTCACTATTTCCTTGCCTGAAAGTCGTCTCCCTTCTACAGCCCCCGCCCCACCCGGTGCTTCTCCTCAGTTGCCTCATCATGGCTGGGAAGGGTGGAGGAGAAGGGCCTGCCAGGGGGTACCACCTGGGTCCCCTTCCTCTGTTCTGTCCCTCTAACCACCCTGGACTCTCTGTCCTTGGCTTTTCCGAGAAGCTGGGGCCTCCCGGGGCCTCACAGAGGCGTCTTGTCTTGTTCCTGTCGCCCCCGCCCTTTTGCTGCCGCCCCCAGCGCCTGTTGGGCTGTGTGGGCCCACGCCCAGGCTCCGCTCCCCCCCCATCTCCACAACCACCCCCTCTGCCCCAAAGCAGAGCAGAGAACAGAAGCAGAACTTCACCTGAGTCTGTTGAAGTTTGGGAGGAGAGGCTAGAATGGGGGTGAGGTGGTGGGGGATGGAGAGCCAGTTTCTGAGGATTCATTCATTCTACAAATAGCAACTGAACAAACTTACCTTCTAGCAGGGGAGACACAATAAATACTTTAATGTCAGATAATGTTAGGTGCTATAAAGATATGAAACCAGTCAGGGGACTGGTGAATGATGGAAGAATGCCTAAGGAAGTGACATCTGAGTCACTTTAAGAAGGTGGGGAGAAGGCAGATTCCATGTAGCTTCTGATTAGGGGTCTTGGCTCAGGAAGAGGAGGGGTGCCAGTGTGCAGACCCAGGCTCCTCTTCGATATCTGTGAACTGTCTGCCCCACTTCTCAGGATGACACTGTTTCCTTTGCTTCTACTCCCTGCTCTATGCTGTCACCAGAGCTGGAGGAGGAAGGGCAGCAGGGGCAGAACTCCTGGGTCCTTGGAAGAGAGGATGGGAGGTTCGGAGGGAGGAAGGAAGACAAGGAAAGTTGTGAAGGGGCTGATTCCTCTCTCTGGATGTGATGGTGCCTACCTCTCTGCCTCTAGGTGCCCCTACTCGACTCTCGTCCCAGCTCCCCGGCCCTCTATTTCTTCCCTGATGCCAGTCTGGTTCACAAGTCTCCAGATCCCTTTGGAGCAGCAGCTGCCCAGAGCCTCAGCTTGGCCCGCTCCATGTTGGCCATCAGTGGTCACCTGGACAGCGATGACGATAGGTAGGTAAGCTCTGTGTGGTGGGCCTGAGGTTCAGGCCCCCACCCAGCACCTGGGATGGCTGCATGACACTGCTCGATAGGTGTGCTTTCCCTCAAGTTGACCTTGGAGAGGACCTAGTAAACAGAAACAGCCTAGGCATAACCACTGGGCGAAGTTGATTTGGGATACACTCCCTGTCTGGGGAGAGAGCTGGGTGGGACTCCCTGGCTTAGGACTGTCGAGTCAGAGACTTTTTTAGAGTTTGAAGGGATTCATTGTTGTCAAATTCCAGAGCTCTTGCAGATTTAGAGATCATTTGGCCAATCCTGGGAACCCACTGGCACATGTGCTGGAGACAAGAATAGGAAATTGGTCTCCTCCCAGTTCCATCTCCTTCTCCCCCCTACCGACAATGGGGGAGAATGGGGCTCCTTAGAGTCTTAAGGACAATGACATAATGTGTGCACCACGTTAGGGTCCTAGGATTTCTGGGATGACGAAAGCTGGCATTGCCCTAAGATCCTGTTCCCTGAGGGGACGAGACCAGCAGTCAGAGCTAGGAACACTACAGGGGTTCTGAGCCCTGTCATGGCAAAGCTCTGGTGAGGACAGTGGTCTGGGACCAGAGACAGCATAGGAGAGCAGAACCTGCCCTTTAGAAGAGAAGGCCTGTTTGGTGGCAGGGTGGGCAGAACTTCCTGTTTCGAGGGTCAGGTTTCAACATTCATAGGAATGTCAGTAAGCTAAAAAAAAGGAGGAATGAAATCGCCAGATAGCTGGGCTGCTCCCTTCTGGTCCTGGACTGATAGGAACCCACTCGGGAAAAGGGCTGCGAGTCGTTTTTATTTTGGAGGGAGGAGTGGGACTTCCTGTTTGAGGCCTTGGAGGGGAGGGACTTCCTGTTTGGAAGGAAATTAGGGGTGGGACTTAGTTAGTGGGTGAGTGAGTGCTGGAGGGACCCATGCCAGGTGGGAGTCCCTCTTCCTTGCCTTCCCTGAATGGGGAGTCACCTGCCAGGATCAGGGACACAGGCCCACAGATGAAAGGGGTCTGAGACCTTGGGGAGAGTGGGGACCCACAGAGGAAGTTACAGGAGCCAGTGGGATGGAGGGCAAGGGGGCTGGTGCCAGCCAGCTAGAGCAGGGTGGCTTGTGCTTGCAGATGGCTCTCAGGAATGTGAGGTGTGAGGTCGGCCAGGGCTAAGAGAAAGAGTCACCTGCCCCTAGTGCTGCTATTCTCAGCACTTCCCACCCTCTTTCACTCCCACTTGGGAGGTTCCCTGGCAGGAGGGCTCCTGGCCCTCCCCCAACCCTGCTGATTTCATTGCCCAGCCTCCTGCTTTCTCTATCTCTAAGGGTTCTGCTTCCAGAGGCCTCCTCTGCTCTATTCTTTTGGCTCGTCCCCTCCCTCTCTCCGTCCCACCCCTCTGCACACCCCAGTCTGACCGGTCCGGCTCCCAGCCTCCACTTGGCCTGCTCTACTCCAAGGCTCTGGGGCTCTGGCCGGGCCCAGCCCCTCATGCCCCACCCTGCTGGGCCAGCGGGTTTGGGTTGGATCATCCCCTACCCCCCAGGAATTGGGTGTGTAGACCCCACCTCACCAGACTGGTGTGCCCAAAGCTGGCAGAAGAGTCCAAATGGCATGGGACCTCCCTTTTGAGAAGGAAAGTAGGCTGAGGTGTCAAAAGCCTGTATCCTAGGTGGGAGGTGGGGCTGCTTGACCAAACCCAGAATTTGGGGAGGGGAAAACAGAGGATGCCTATTGAATTCAAAATAGGTTGGAAGATCCTTCATGTTCCAAACAGAACCTGGCTGGTGGGAGTTAATTGGTTAAAGTGTGAGTACATGGATAGGTAGATCCCAGGTGGATGAGTAGCTAATGGCTAGCTGGAGAGATCCAGGCAAGAACAGGGTCTAATGTATCCCTAAGTGCAGTCCTGTGACCCTCCCACTTCCCAGAGGGAGAAACTGAAACTCAGAGGAGGGTTTAGAAATTTGCCCAAAGTGGGGACCCAGTAGTTGGTGTAATGGCTACATCGCTGGACTCCCATGTAGTTGACCATGGTTCGAGTCCTGAACCCAGTGGCTTAAACTCACACTGGGCGTGAATGTGTGCTTTCCCAAGATCCCGAGAGGAGAATGGAGGAGAAGGGATTGCGGTGAGGAGCCCCCCCCACCCTGCCTCCTGCAGGTCATTTCTTGCTTTCGGTCTCTCTTTGTCTCACGCCCTATAACAAAACCTCTCAAAAAAAGAAAAGAAAAGAAAGAAAGAAAGAAAGAAAAAGAAATTTGCCCAGTTACCTACTAATCAGTAGCTTGACTGCAGAGCCTGGGTCTGACTCCAAAGCCACACTCTCTCCACTCCTATGGGATGCCTGTGTCCTAAGAGATGAGGGGGCAGCGATGGTCTCTAGGATGCCCTTCTCTGTAGGACAGACAGGGATAGCTCTCCCAAGGAGGGCAAGGAGCCAGTCCCCTCCCCGCTCCCGGGCCCAGCCCCGCCTTCCTGAAGGCACCACAGATCCGGGAGGGAATGTAGCAAGGCAGCAGCAGGATGCCACTTTGCTGGCCTCAGGCCCAGCCCCTGGAGGCTCCTTGGGACATAGAAGGAGCAGGGACTGGCCCCTGTTCCCCGAACCTCCCCACCTCATTCACATATCTTCCTCCTCTGCTCCTCTTGCTGAGGCTCTTACTTGACCTTCAAAAGGAAAACCTTTAAGGCCTCTTGTTCCAGGACCTGAGTCCAGCAGGGCTAGAGTCCACAGTTGTGGATGTCACGTACTGCACAACTCTGGAGGTACCACTCACATTTGAACTCATGGTTGATGGTTGAAGTCATGACAGTTTTCTGGAAGCTGGCAATGAGTATCTTGAAGAAAAATTTGTTCTAATTCACAAGAAGTTGCTTTTGGGCTTGTGGTGAGGGCTGATCCTGTCCAGCCAGCCCTAGGCTTCCTGCTAATGACCCTGCCCAGGCGTGGTCTAGCATAGTGCCTGCCCAAGGCTGCTCACTCAGGGGTTCTCAGAGAGAGGGCTAAGCCTGCCAAGATCCTGGTCTCTTGAAGTGTTAATGTTAGAATGTCACAGTGGAAAGTGCTGTCAAAACTCTCCAGCCCTAGACAAACAGGAGATAGCCATCTATCAGCCAACAAATGTTTATTGTTGTATTATTCCTTTATTTCTGGCGAGAATGAATAACTTACTTGGCATCTTTACCCAAGTGTCCGCCAAGCAAGGCCAGTATTCCTATTCCTGTGTGTCTACCCCTGTCTGGAGTCTGTGTGTCCTTGGTTGGGGGGTGTTGGGTGTTCTGTGGTGGCCTAGTCGCCACCCAGGTGTCCTGGACCAAAATAGCTTAAAAACTGCTCCGACTCTCTCCAGCTGTCCGGCCCACCCTACACTCTTAAACTTCTCTCCCTCCCCCCACCTCAGGGTCTCAGGTGCCCTTTTTCACCCCACCCTGACCTGCTTTCTCAGGCCTGGTCACCCCCTTGGTTGTTTCACCTGTCAGTGCCTTCTGCATCCAGAGCTTGGATGGGAAATGGAAAATTCCCAGCTCCTTCATGCTCCCTGTCTGGCTGCAGGGCCTCATCCAAGGGTCACCTTGAATTGAGTGCTGACTCTCCCCCCTTCCTCCACTCCCCGCCCCCCACAGGGAAGCAAGTTGGAGCTGACAGCCAGGAGGGAGAACTTACAAGAGAACACAAGGACTTGTTACCTAGCATGTCAGCGCCCTCACTAGAGAGGGGCTCAGCTGGGTGTTCGAAGGCAGGACCCTGCAGCAGAGGGCTAGCCTGGGAGCTGAGACTGCAAGAACTGGGGTCTGGATGGTGGGAGAAGGGCGCAAAGGCCTGTATAGGCCCCAGACCACTAGAGACTCTCCAGGGAGAGCCAGTATCTGGAACCAAGAGCCCAGTATCCTGGGGCCTGCAGAGAGCCTGGCCCTGAGGGCCATGAGTCAGGCCTGAGTCGACCTCTGGTGGCCACTTAGCAAACTGCAGCCAGACCTCCTCTCCCCATCTTCCCAGCTATCAAAGCCCCTGCTGCAATTCCCAAGGTCCCACCTGCACCCTCACCTTCCTATGTCTCCTTAAGCCCTTGCTTCTTCCAAGACTGCAGGCGCAGGTCCCAGTCCATAAGTCGTATTTGTCTTCCATGGCTCTAGTCTCAGTTTCTGTTGCCATGGAAACCTTTCCTCTTCCTCTTGTCCTTCACTGTGGGAAGTAGGGGACCCTCTGGTTCAGGCCCCAGGGGTCACCCATAGGCAGGCCTTGAGTTTGGGGGAGGAGAGAGCTCAAAGTCCCAGGGAGGCCACAAGCACATTAGAAACTCCCCTGCCTCATCTACCTCCACCCCCTACCCCCAGGCCTGAGGGATGCCAGAGGGGCAGGGTGGGGTCAGAGGTGGAGAGAGGCCTTCCAGGGTCAGGCTCTTCCTCACCCCCCTGCTCCTCTGCAACCCAGGCCTCTTGCCCCACAGCCCCTCCCCCAACCTGGGCTACCAGCTGACTTCCCTCCCGGCCCCCTCCCCTCTACTCTGGGATCTGTGCCAGGGTGAGAAGGGGACACTGGCACTGACCGTGTCTGGGAATTCCCGCCCACCGTGGAGCCAGCGGGAGGGGGTCCCCGTGTCCCTGAGGAGCCAATAGCAGCTAGGCCTTGCCCTGGGGGGCGGTGTATATCTTTCAGGCCAGCACCCCCCAGGCACTGTCTCCTCTCTGCCTGCCTGGCACCAGCCAGACCCCACTCTGCCCGGGGGGCTCTGAGCCCCCCAGGCACTCTCTCCCATACAGCCCTCTCCCTCTAGGGGGGGCCTAAGGACCCTTTCCCCTCAGGGATGTCCCAGCCAGGGGTCTCTGTTAAGTCCCTGGTGTCATCTTATGAGACCCGAGTGGTGGGGATGGCTCCGGGGCCACCCCGAAAAAGGGGCTGTGTCTCTTCTCCTTGCTCCCCTCGGGGAGCATCCCCCATCCGAGGGGCATCTGGACCCCCACCCCATCGGGGCCTAGGGGGCCCTGGGCAGCGACCCTCTGCCCGCCGGGGGATGGACAAAACCCTGCTCTCCCTGATTCTCTACTGTCACAGGTACAGGAGATATGGGGGGTGCGGGGAGCAGAGCTCTGGAGGATGCCAGACTTGGGTCCAGGAAGCAGCACCTGGGAAGGTGGTGGGCTGGGCTGTCCAGGTACCTGGCTCCTCCCCTCACCTCTCACCTTCTTGCATCTCTCTAGTGGCTCCGGAAGCCTGGTTGGCATTGACAACAAGATCGAACAAGCCATGGTAAGAGAAGCTACCTTGGTCCCAGGAGGTCCCTGTCCCCTTTAGCATCCCCTCTGCTCCGACTAACTCTCAGCTCCTGACCCACTCCCTGCTGCCCCCTCCTGTCTCCACCTCTGCCATTGACTTGGTCCCCACCCTCCCTGCTGCCCCCTCCTGTCTCCACCTCTGGTATTGACTTGGTCCCTGACTTGGCTCCTGGCCCCTGTCTCTGAGCCCAAACTTGCCTCTGTCCCTCTTCTTGAACCTGCCCTTTCCCTGCCTTGCTTCCTTCCCGGGTCCCCTTATTCATTTGGGTGCAGGGGAATCTCACACCCAGGCCCTCAAGGTGCTAAGCAGGGGATGAGGTTGGGGTGGCCTGGTCCCCCTGACACTTTCCCTGTCCCTGGGTCCCTAGGACTTAGTGAAGTCCCACCTCATGTTTGCGGTCCGGGAAGAGGTGGAGGTGCTGAAGGAGCAGATCCGGGACCTAGCCGAGCGGAATGCTGCGCTGGAGCAGGAGAATGGACTGCTGCGTGCCCTGGCCAGCCCGGAGCAGCTGGCCCAGCTGCCCTCTTCAGGGGTCCCACGGCTTGGGCCCCCTGCACCCAATGGGCCTTCTGTCTGAGCCTCCCTTCCCTCACAATGTGCCTTTGGGGGCTGCCTTGGCAGCCAGGCCTTGGGCCAGCTGCCTGCCCCCTCTTCCTATGCAGCTTTAATGCCCCCGACCCCTGGGGATGGGAGCTCAAGGCTCAGTATTGGCCTGTCTCCCCCAACCCTATTCTGACCTTCCCATAGTCCAGGCCTTGATGGAGGAGGGAGGGCTTCAAGATGGGGTGTTAAATGGAGCCCCCTCCACCAGAGATTCCAGCCCCCCTCCCTCCCTAGACATCAGTGTTCTGGGACCCCCAGCAGTAGATGGCTTGGGGGAGTTGGAGGCTCCCCACCCCTACCTTGTTCCCTTGAAGTGCCCCCTCTCCTCCACCCAGGGGAGGGAGTATGGACAGTATCTGGAAGTTCTGGGATTCAGGTTGTTATTAAAATAATAATTATAATTAAAAAATCTGAAGAAACTTGAATTTGGAAGTTGGCATCTCGATGCGCTGACAGTTTGAGCTCCACTAGAGATCCTGTCCGGACAGGGGAGGTTTAATGTAGCACAGACAGAGGGGTCGAGAGAGACACAGGGAGTTCAGGTCCTGGGAAGGGGCAGGCAAGGCTAGGCAAAGCAGCAGCGGAGGGGGGCCGGCCTGCCCACGTGCTGGGGGAGGGAAACAATGGGGCCTTTGGTGATTGTGCAGGATCCACCCCCATCTTCCCAGCGTGTCCCCTCTGTGGGCTGGATCCGGGTGGCTGCTTGGGGGCGGGGCGGGGGGCCCTGAATGGGCCCCTTGTCTCAGGGCTGGGTGTGAGCCAGGCTCCCTGGGCACATGGTGCCCTCGCCAGGCCTGGCGGACCGCCGTGGCTTCCACCCCCAGCTGGCTGAGGACAGGCCCTGTGGGTGAGCAGGCCCCTCCCAGGCAACTTGGGCTCCTGTCCCAGGCGGAAGAGGCAGCTGGGAAGCGGGACCCCCCTCTAGTGGGCAAGGGGGAGAAAGCAGCCACTGCAGCCTAAGGGGACCCTGGGAGGAGCAGAAGGCCACTCCCTCCCATGTACATACTGGAGAGGTACTTGGAGAAGCTGGGGGTGTGGAGACATCTGGGTTTGACTAGCTGCCTTATAGCTCCCAGATTTATAACCCTAGGCAAGTTCTCTGGTTTTTCTGAATCTCAGATCCCTCTGGTAAAATGACGCCTACCTTGAAGGACTGCGGTGTGGAGTAAATAACGTAAGGTGGGAAATGCCAAGCTCGCACCGGGCACTCACTATTGTTATCCTTCTTCCCTTGGATGGGGAGAAAAGGGATTGGCTCCTGAGTCCTGGAAGGGCATGGGGGGTTGGGGTCATGGCCAGGCAGGCTCTCACAATGGGCTAGAACTCTCCCTCCCTCCAAGTTCTCATCCACTTTGACTCCTCTCCCTACCCCAGGGAGGGGAGGAAATGCCTGGATGAGGCCCTGGGGGGAGCTTTCCCCCTGGATTTCCTATTCCTTCCTTCACTGCTCTGCTTGAAGCTCCTCAGCTCCCACCAGACCCTTTGGGTGGTGGCCGTTGGCCTGCAGCCCATGCTTCTCCCCACCCCCACCCCCACCCCCACAGTACCAAATGCTGGCTCTGCCCCTCACTTTGCATTTTTCTTATTGGGAGACAAGGCCATGGTCATGAAGTTCTTCCAGGGGGTTAAGCGGGTTTGGCGAAAGATTACCTGTTGGGTGAGTTTTAGAGACTGCCTGGTGCTGGGATGAGGGTGCTGGTCAGGGACCTCTAGGTAGCAACTTCCCCTACAGGCAGCCTCTCTCCTCTACTGGCCTCCTGAGACCAAACAGGACAGGTGGGAGGAGCTTGGGGGAAGGAGGTGTGAAACTCATCACCTAATCCCTTTTGGCCTTCTTTCCTGTTGACGTGTCTCTGCTCAATCTTTCTCTTCTGTCTGCCCTCTGCATGTTGTTAGGTTTTCTTCTGGAGACACAAAGCTAAGTCAACCATCTTGGAGCACTCTGGCTCTAAGAAACATGCATCGAAGGGTGTAGAGAAGACTCCGCAGGTGGTTGAGACTTTCAGCTTGGTCAAGCCCCCCACAGAGACTGAGCTCCTCAAGATGGACGAATCCCCTGAGGAGGCAGAGCCGTGCCTATTGGCCAAGCAAACAGATGGGACTGAGGTGGAGCTGGGCCACAGGGGCCGCTCCCTGCTGCGGCTGCCGCGGACGGCCGTCCAGTCTGTCTCCACGCTCATGGTCTCCGCCCTGCAGACTGGCTGGCAAATGTGCAGCTGGAAGGTTAGCGCCTTGCCCATGGTTCCCTGTACCCTACAACCCTCCCTCTTTCAGTCTTTCTTCCTTCACTGACTCAGTGATTCCTGTGCCTCTACTGAGGGCCAGGGAGGGAGGATATGACATTGAACAAGTTTACCTGGACTTGAGGGGCTACAGACAAGATAACAGGCTTTGTTGGTTCAGTATTATAATGACTGACGTGGGAGGTAGAGACCAAGGGAGCCTAGGGGAGGGCACCTCATTCAGACGTGGGGAGCCAAGGAAGGGCCTTCCTAATAGAGGGTGAAGCTGAGACCCGAGGAGTTAGCTTGACTTGGGAGGGGGTGATTGTTAGGAGGCAGAGGAAATGGAATATGTATCCTGAGAAGAGAGATTGTCAGGTATGTGTAGGGCAGGTCCAAGGTGTGTGGATTGGAGTAGAGTGATCCTGGAGCCCAGGGCCAGCTCATATAAGGCAGGTTGGGTGACCATGGTGTGGAATTTGGATTTGATCCTAGGAGCAATGGGAGCCCTTGACGACATTTGACCTGACTGGTTTCATTTAGAAAGCTCACCTGCCTTCACACATTGCTGGTGGGAATGTAAAATGGTACAAATGTTAGAAAAGAGTCTGGCAGTTTCATAGAAAACTAAACATCTGATTATCATATGACCTGATAGTTGTATTTTGGGGCATTTAACCCAGAAAAATGAAGTTTTTATGTCCACACCAAAATTTGTAAATGATTATTCACAGCAGTTTTACTTGTCATAGCCAAAATCACCCACACGTCCTTCAGTGGGTGAACAGTTAAACTGCGATGTAGCTATACCCTGGAATACTACTCAGCCGTGAAAAGGGACAAACGATGGACACATGCGACAATTTAGATGAATCTTGAGGGAATTATGCTAAATGAAGACAATCATCCCAAATGATTATATATACTGTATGATTCCCATTATATTGCATTCTATTTTTTTTTCTCTTATTTATTTATTTATTTTTTTGGAGAGATTTTCACTGTAGGGCGCGTGCGCTCGCCAGACAGACAGAGAGAGACATAGAGACAGAAAGCGAGAAATCACCCCCCAGGGGGGATGGTCACGCCGCAATCCCTTCTCCTCCATTCTCCTCTCGGGATCTTGGGCATGCACGCACACGCGCCCGGCGTGAGTTTTAAGCCACCAGGTCCGGGACATGAACCGCGGTCGACTACGTGGGAGTCCAGCGACATAGCCATTACGCTAACTGCTGGTTCCCTTTTCTCTTATTTTTAAGAAATTTTGCTATAAGGCATGGGCACTTGCCAGACAGAGACAGAAAGAAAGAGAAGGAAGGAAAGTAAGAAAGCATCCTCCCCCACCCCCCAAGAGGGATGACCACACCACAATTCATACACCTCCATTCTGCCCTTGGGATTTTAGACACACATGCACACACACACTCACACAGTGTATCTTTCAAGTTAATCCATTTTTGAAATGACAAAATTCTGGAAATGGAGAACATATTAGTGGTTTAGTGGTTGCCAGGGCTACAGGGGAGAAAGGTCATGGTTATGAAAAAGAGGTTACATGAAGGGGCCAACTCTGGCGCAGTGCTGCTGTTCAAGAGAAACTTAATCCCACATGGTGACCACGGTTCTGGATAGGCTGGCCTGAAACACACAAGGCATGCATGAGTGCCCAAGGTCTGACAGACTAGAGGACAGGAGGATGGGGACTGCAGCATGGCCAGCCCCTGTGGAGGGTGCTCACATCTCTCTTTCTCTCTTTCTCTCACTCTCACATGCACTCCATCATGAATAATAATAATAAAAGGACAACATCCTGGTGATGATGGAAATAGTTCTGTATCTTTTCTTTTTTAACTGCCAGGGGGCACATGCCTGTACATACACAAGTGAGAGAGAGTGAGCACCTTCTAATGTGGCACGATCATTCCACAATTCCTCTCCTCTCTTTCCCATCCTGTCGGGATTTGGGGCCTGCATACACATGTGCATGACGTCCTTTCTTTTTCTTTGAGAGATTTTTGCTATAGGGCATGTGCACTTAGCGGAGAGACAGAGACAGAAAGCGAGAAATCAGTCCCCCAGGGGGGGGATGGCCACACTGCAACCCCTTCTCCTCCATTCTCCTTCTCAGGCTCTTGGGCACTCACGCACATGTGCCCAGTGTGAGGTTTTTATTTAAAGGTTTTTGCTATAGGGCGCGTGTGTTCACCAGAAAGACAGAGAGAGACACAGAGACAGAAGGCTAGAAATCATCCCGAGGAGGATGGTCATGCCACAATCCCTTCTCCTCCATTCTCCTCTTGGGATCTTGGGCACGTGTGCACATGTGCCCAGTGTAAGTTTAAGCCACCGCGTCAGAGACTCAAACCATGGTCGACTACATGGGAGTCCAGCGACATAGCCATTATGCCTACTGCTGGTCCCACCCAATGTGAGTTTTAAGCCACCAGGTCCAGGATGTGAACTACCGTCAACTACATGGAAGTCCAGCAATGTAACCATTATGCAATCTGCTGGTCCCCCAATGTGATATGTTTTTTCAAGCCAAGACTGGAATTTAAACCACACAGTCAGCCATGGGGCTGGCCCAAAATTTGTAGAAGTAAACACACCCACACACAAATAAGTAGAACTGGGGAAATCTGAATAAGATCAGTAAATTTTTTATCAATGTCAATACCCTGACTATGATTTTGTAGTACAGTTTTGTAAGATTTTCCTATTGAGGGAAACCAGGCAAAACATACACAGGATCTTTATTATTTACTACAGCTGCATGTCAATCCACAATTATCTTAAAATAAAAAGTTTAATCTAAAAAGGGGGAAGGTCTAGGTCACTACTAAATCAACTTATTTTGCATAAAATATTATTTCTTGGGACCAGCAGTTGACATAATAGCTATATCACTGGACTCCCACATAGTCGACCGTGGTTCAAGTTCCAGACCCAGTGGCTTAAATTCATGCCGGGTATGTGTGTGTGCATGCCCAAGATCGGAGAGGAGATTGGAGGAGAGGGATTGCGGTGTGGCCATCCCCCCATAGGGTGTTGATTTCTTGCTTTCTGTCTCTCTGCCTCTCTCCATCTTTCTGGTGAGTGCATGCACCCTATAGCAAAAACCTCTCCAAAAAAAAGAAAAAAATTATTTCTTTAAGGGCCAGCAGGTGGCATGTTAGATCCTTCATGGCTGACTGCATAGTTCAAGTCCCAAACCTGACAGCTTGAAAAACACTGGGTGTGGGACCAGCAGATGGCATAATGGTTATGTTGCTGGACTCCCAATGTAGTATACCACAGTTTGAGTCCCATGCTGGACTCCCATGTAGTATACCACAGTTTGAGTCCCGGATTCAGCCGCTTAAAACACACTAGGCGCATGTGTGTCCCTGCCCAAAATTCCAAGAGGAGAATGGAGGAGAAGGGATTGAAGCATGGCCATCCCTTCTGGGGAGTGACGTCTCTCTTTCTGTTTCTCTGTCCCTTTGTGTCTCTACAGAGAATGCACATGCCTTATAGCAAAAAAGGATCAAAGTAAAACACACTAGGCACATGTGCATGTATGCCCAAAATCCCAAGAGGAGAATGGAGGAGAAGGGATTGTGGTGTGACCATCTCCCTTATGGCGGCTTGCTTTCTCAATTTCCCTCTCTCTCTGTGTCTTTCTCTGGTGAGTGCATGTTCCCTATACTAAAAACTAAAACAAAACAAAACAAACAAAAAGTATTACTTCATTAATACTAATAAAAGAAGTTTACCTGTCTGCTCTATGGAGGGGTATGGAGCAGTGTTGGTAGGAGATGCGAGGAGGGATGGGAATATTATTGGGGGCTGATGTCCAGGCTGAGCGAAGATATTCTGGACTGGGGCGAGATATCAAGTGTGAAGAAGGTAATAGCCCTGTGTGATACTTGGGAGGTCAAATTGTTGGGCCACATGGCTGGATGGAGGTAATGGGGAGAAGGAGAGGCTGGAGTCAGGCAGGCCAGAGACATTTACTGGGGGTGGACAATGAGAATGAAGAACAGTTAGGAGAGGGTGGCAAATTTAGGGCGTCAGGACAGATGAGTGAAAATATCACTAGACCATCTTCATGGAGGTGTCAGGACAGAGCTCCAGTCTGGAGATAGAGGTCGGGGTGTCAGTCTGTCGTCCTTCATTTTAATACACTCTCCATAAAATCCTAAGTGGAGGGACCAGCAGTTGGCTTAATGGCTATGTTGCTGGACTCCCCTGTAGTCAACCGCGGTTCGAGTCCTGGACCCGGTGACTTAAACTCACGCCGGGTGCATGTGAGTGCGTGCCCAAGATCCTGAGAGGAGAATGGATGAGAAGGAATTGCGGTGTGGCCATCCTCCCTGGGGGGTAATTTCTCGCTTTCTGTCTCTCTGTCTCTGTCTTTCTGGTGAGCACACATGCCCTATAGCAAAAATATCTCAGTAAATAAATAAATAAATAAAAGGGCAAAGAAAAGAAAAGAAAAATCCTAAGTGAAGACTAAAAACGGAATCAGAGCTTACATTCTAGCAGAGAACTCAGAACAAATAGCATGTGAAAGTGCTATATCAGGACAGACAGGAGTAGAGACAACAGGTACCTCAGGCTTCTCAGCCGCCTGAGAAGGCTTCCTGGCAGAGGAAGTATCTGAGCTGGTCTGATGGCAGAGGTGGAATTAGACAAGCCCTTTGCTGTTTGTCTGCAGCCAGTTCTACCAGAAGTGTCTCCTTAAATTCGGCTCCTTACACCTGCATCTCTTCTTTCTTTTCTAGTCATCTGTGAGTTCTGCCTCAATTACCTCCCAGATGAGGACCGGGTCCCCTTTGGAGACGCCAGAGGCCGAGATGCTGCGGGAGGTGTACCTGGTGCTGTGGGCCATTCGGAAACAGCTGCGGCAGCTGGCCCGCAGGCAGGAGCGGCGCAGACGGCGCCGCAGCAGGACCCATGCTTCCCCCCAGCCCGAGCCTGTTCAGGGCCTGAAACAGGATGCCCGAAGTCCCCTTTAGAAGGGAGCCCCTGATCCTCAGAAAGCCCCTACCTCACTCACTCTTGGGTAAGGTTGATAGGAGGGGTCAGGGCAGCAGGCCAGAAGTTGTGGGTGAGGGGACGTTTTCATACTGTCACCTCTCATCGGGAACCCAAGGCCCAGGCCTGGGGTCCCACATAGTCCCCTTCATTCTGTTTATTCAATTTGTAAAAAATTATCAGAATATTGAGAAATAAATATCAGCTATTTCTGAGTAGATGCAGTGTGTGTTCATGGATGGTCAGGAGATGATAAGGGACACTTGGGTGGGACAGGAAGGTGGGGCCCCAAATATGTGTGGGAGGAACCTGTGTGTCTGATTTTGGGGAGAGAGGCCCAACGGGTCTGGGCCTTGGGCTGGGCATCCCCACACTTCTAGAGGCTGAACTGCCTTCAGCAACTGTGCCTGGCCAGGAAGCACAGCAAAGCAGCCATTTAGTGATGGGCTATGCAGCAGGCCAAGCTGGCAGCTGCTCTCCCTTACGATCCGACAAGAGAGGAATTTAGGGTGGGTTAGAGGACATGCCTGAGGCCCTGCTGTGAAAGAGGCCTCACTGGAAACTGCTTGCTCCTGGAGCCAGACCACTGCCCTGCCTCTGGCGATCCTGGGCTTGGCATGGTGGGTTGTGGGTCTAAGGACACCAAGTCAGGGCTGTAGCAGATGCTTCCTCTGGGAAGATTTGCATCTCTTGGGTGCCTAAAGAAAAAAAAAGAAAAAAAAAAGAAAAGAAAAAGGGACCAGCAGTTGGCGCAATGGCTATGTCGCTGGTCACCCACATAATCAACTGCGGTTCGAGTCCTGGATCCAGTGGCTTAAACTCACGCTGGGCACATGTGTGTGCGTGCCCAAGATCCTGAGAGGAGAATGGAGGAGAAGGGATTGCGGCATGGCCATCCCCCCTGGGGGGTGATTTCTCACTTTCTATCT